GGCTTCGAGCCGCCTACGAAGAAAATGGCGGCTCGCCTGAGACGAATCCATTTGCTAGTACTGCGATTCGTGTGTATCTTAGGGAAGTGAAAGAGTGTCAAGCTAAGGCCCGTGGCATTGCGTATAAGAAGAAACAAAAGAAAGCTAGCCCCAGCAAAGGAGATGATGATTCCACTTCTGCAGGGTTTCTCTCATTTTCTTGATCCACTAATGCAGTTATTGCCTAGTTCCTCCCCATCGAAAATGGTAAGATCGATCTTTCATGCGAGTATAATGCTATATCTGAACTTGTTGTAACAAATAATCTGTCTTATTTTCTAGATAATAATAAGATTTTTCACACACATATACTATTAGTATAATTTTTTTTATACAATAACTAAACTTGAACTTGTTGTAACAAATGACATGTCTTATTTGCTAGATTATTGTAAGATCCATCACATACACTTACAGTATAAACGATTTTTATATAATCACTGTAGTTGAACTTGCTATAACAAATAACCTGCTTTATTTATAAATTATGATCTCAATTTTTTCGAACAAATTATCAGTTAATTATTATAATTTAGGTGAAATGATAGAGCGAGAGTATTACCTCTCACTTCCCTTAAGGAAGGCTATAGTTTTCCTTCATATGTAGTGAGGATGAACTTCAAATGGAGTACCTCATCACTAGATCTGATCAGTGATCTTTGGGAAGAGAAAAATAGACACTGCATTTCACAAACAAATTAACTCAATAGTTGATAGAATTATTCTAGGGTAAGTTCTGCGGGTTTGTTCTCGAGTCTCTACTTTTAAATATTGGATTCACCTCTGTCGATTATAAAGATGGGAAAGATTCAGCCTTTTATCTCAAACCCTAAAAATACTTGAGATAAATGCAAAAATCTAATTTTTTATCGACAGTTAACTGGTTACTTAATTACAATATACTAGTATAAGTTTCAACAAAGATTATCATAATACTGTTCAATTAACTTGAAACATGACAAACCAGAAAAGAGAAGGAATTTGAAGCTAATTTCTCCGTATTTGCCAACAGAAAAGGTCAAGAATTTACCCATTTAATTTCCTCACTTTCTGAATAAAGCTGTCTGCAGTAAGATCTGAATATAGTAAACAATTCCCAGATAGATTATATGTCAGTTTATTGTTTAATTCTTCTTGGATTCTGAAGATTTTGTGCCCCCTGCACAGCCATAAATAGCCATTTGAGGTACTATATATACGCTTTTGAATTTTCTTATCAAAGTATATATTTCAGAATTGACATTCTATTTAAGAGTTTAAATTCTATGCATTGACAGTATAAATAATATTTACACAATAAGATCACTTATTAGGTAATTATAGATAAATTTTTACGATAATATTTATAGTAACCTGAAAAAAATGTTAACTAACCTGTTACATATCACAAGTTAAGATTCACTTATATGTAAATATTTTTTAGGCTCTCAATTTGTATAAGTTATATTCATATAATATGGTTTCATGCATGAATCAAGGTTTATTTTGTCCACACCATGCAATTTTATTTTATTTTTTGGAAAAAAGGGGCATTTTGCATTGGATTTTCAAAGAATCATCATTGAAAATCTTTTGATCCTGTACGAGAAAACCATATAGATATTAAAGAGCACCAATTGTTTAACTTTTTGGTAGTATTAAAATGATATATCTTCTATCAATGAGCACTCAAAAATCAGCCTATTGAAAGTTTTGAATCTGCATTGTTTAGTTGTCCTTTTTTATCTTTGCAAGATTGCTTGCTGTCCATATTGGATCTTGTGGGGCATCACACTAATTCAATTTTTTGTCAGAATGTTCTATATTTTTCAATAAAACAAACAATTGTGTATCATGATACTGTAATTTCAGTCAGTATTGAAGCTGCTACATGTTTATCTGTTTGAAGAAGACAAACTCTTCTTTATATATATAATTTGATGGTACGAAATTAAAAGAAGAATTGCTTTTTTCAAGCCTGAACCAAGTCCAGGATTTAGACTAGGAATTAAGATTTTATCAGATTGTGTATAGTAATAGAATAGAGCATTTGTTTAACCAAAAAATGGTATTTGGGGTCAAAGCAAATAATAAAATAAATCGGATTTCTAATAATCAATTTTACTTCACTTTTCCTGATATAGAAGAATATGAAATAATAGAAATCAAATATTAAGAGAATAAAGAAAAGAAAACCTTATTGATAGTCATAGCTTCCTTCTAAGAGTTGAAAATAAGAATCTTCAATTAAGCAGAGAAAAGAAAATAAAATACTGATAAAATATATTTGTGAATTCTTTGTTGATCGTACAAAGTATGGTAAGGGGGTTTATATAAAGATACAATATGTAACTGCTTTGCCATATTTAATTTCCTCCCGTTACCAATATTAATTATATTAATATCTCGTTATTTGAATAATTTATAACGGTTATGGTAATAATAACCAACCGTGCTAAATCGGGGATCATGTCGATTACCTTTCCATGTCTGCCACTATTATTGAATCTTTCTTCTTTGTAATATTTAATTGTGCATTCCGCGGCCATCTCTTCTTAGCAGTTGTCGGGTACGGTCTCTTTGTAAACAATCCTTGTGGGTGTTTTCCCCATGTCTTTCTTCCAACATTCGCTCTTCTTTATTATTCTAACACTTATGCCCTTTGTCAGCGCATTATTAATCCACGTGTCAAGTTTATTTTTACACCAATACAGCATTATTACATTTTGCTTCAAATAATCATTTGACTCGTCCTCTATTAGTTCCTTTGGAAGATGTCTGTTTTGTGGAGAATTGAGACTCAATGTATAGAGATTCTGAGGCATATCAGTTTTTCTTTAAAAGCATTCTTAACATGAACAGCAGTTCCATATCCAAGGGATTATTGCATAGGATGGATGAGATTACTTCATCCTTAATCAAAGGTTTCGGGTTCAAATTTTGAGTACGGAGAAACTTTTGATAATAAGCGCATGCAAATCTAATAGTCAAATCAGTGGATTTCGAATACCAAAATGTTACTTTCTCTTCGTGTCAATATGGACACTCAATCATAGAGATATATATACATACAAATCATGTCTGACAAAAGAAGGTACTTGCCCAAAATCAATATTGTTCCCAAAAATATTAAATTCTCAGACTTTGATATCTATATCTTGGAGCGTTCTTTCTACTTTGGATAACTGTAAAAATATATATTTATTAAATGGATTAGTTCTTTACATAGTTAGACACGTTAACACATATTTATAGCCGGCATATGAACTAGAAGTCTATAGACCATATTTGGGTGGTGGAGTTTAAGTTTTTTTTTACAAACGATATAAAAAATATTTATACAGTTACGTCACCTAAAGTGTAATTGTAGGTAACTTTCGTCAATAATCATTGATTGGTAACCTAAACTGCTGATAAGTAACCTATTATAACATGTTAAATTACTTTTATAATGTAAAACTCTTTATATTGTCATAAATTTTATGTTATGTTTTCTGATAGTATCAAGCTTGGTAGTCTCTAAAGATTTTGAAAGCGATCTAATTACATGTGCAGGATCTTGCAGAAGATAGAAGGAATTTGCCACTAATTAGAAGTGGAATTTCTTTTTTATCAACTTTTAAGTCGGATCACATTTGTAATAGCTATAAATATAGCAGAATTCAAAGAGTTGTTTTGTGAATTCTAAATCATTTCTTGTAAGATCATATATCCTCTTTATACAAGTAAGTTTTCCTATTTAGTATTGCACCTTTTATCTACTGTGAATTCAAATCCAACTGCTTAATTGATAGTTTATTCTCTTTCGATGTAGCAATATAAAGAAAATTAGTATGGTACATTATGCACAAGAATGACCCGTATGAATCGAGAAATGATATTTTAGAGGAACTTGACATCAATAAATCTTGAGTCGAGATTCATTTTGAGTTTTGACTAATTAAGCTTTCCAAAAATTAATTCTTTAATTTTAAGAACGAAAAGAGAGAGAGAAAAGAAGCAGTGTCAAAACGCTATATTATGATTTATGATCATTGTGTTGACCCAATACGATAATGCTGATTCATGGGTTGTTTCGACGATTCATAAATAAATTGTAATTGTAAATTTCTAATGAGATTAATAAATTAGTCTAATTAAATTAATCAAAAATATTTTTTTGGCCAATACTAGGAATGCATAAAGTGAAGTCCTAAAAGAACTAGGCTTCGTAATTTATTCTGTGTATGAATATAATCGAATAATCAATTTTCCTACATGAAAAATAATATATGAAGAAACCTATTTGAATATATGAAGAAATGAAAATCGATGACCAAAACTTAATATTATCCTACAAAGCAAGAACACTTGGTCTTGACAGCGTAATGTTAGTAGTTAATAAAGTGCACAAAACATCTCATATTTATACGGGGTCCGAAGAAGTGTTGTATCCAAGTAAGTGTGATGTAGGCACGAAGCATTCCACGTTGACTGTTAGTTAGTAAAGACAAATTTAGTTTATTTTAGTGACGCGAATTATTTGACCCTAATTATGCAATGTAAACTACGGTATAACTCATAGGCGAATTTGGATCTTTTCTCTTAAATTTTGGGTATAAATATATAAGCGTTGATTTCTTAATCATCCTGAAAAAAACTATTTTGCATATTTAAAAATTATCTAAGTAGCATACAATAATAGACAATTTAAAAACTTTTATATTCAATTTTCGAAATAAAAATAATGGCGTCAATATAGTTAAAGGACAAAATCAATTTTCTTTTTCTCCAAGACAAGAAGTTATAAAGTAGAAGGGCGGAGTCTGAACTGTGACATTGAATCCCAAAGCCTACTTAACGCTCCAATACCCGCGCACTTCCCTATTTTCTACTCGTTCGCCGGCGCTGCTCGTCGCCTCCGTTAAGTTTACTACCGGAATCCGGTAATCCCTCTTTCTCTCTTCTTTGTTTTCCTATTAATCTTAACTCTTCAAGCTTAGTGTTCTCGCCGTTAATTTGATTCGAGCTGAAGTGTATTGTCTCTCCTTGGCCAAATGTGTGAATCAGATGCTATTATATGAACTTAACATTATGTGTTACCTGGGGTTTTGACTTACTTAGATTTGTTAATTTTGCCCTAACAAGAAATTTAGCATAATGTTTGGAGCTACGAATTCAGTGAAGAATAGAAAAAGTAAAAAACTTTCATTTTTTTTTTTATCTGGGGTTCTCCATTTTTCTCATAAAAAGGAGAAAAAAGAGAACCCAATTAGGTTTCTTGTGACCTACTCCTACTCTCATCCTTTGAATTTTAGTGTCTTTTGTTCTTGACCTAGACTTGTAAGTTATGTATTAAAGGTTCTTTATTGTAAAAAAGAAAAGAAAAGAAAAATCAGTTCCCTTATTGGTTAAAGATCTGTCTTAGGCAGGTTGAGTAGTGATTTGACGAGGTGCTCGTGAGATGTCCCTGATGTCACTAGAAAACAAAAAGTAGAGCGAGAATTAGAAAAAGAACTAATATAGTTCTGTGTAAACTAATTTTTTCTGTCTTGAAAGAGTTCTGTGATTGATTATTGTCTTCGGCAATTTCTTGGTACATTTCGTGATCGTGTTCAAATAATTCTTTACCAACCGGCAAGAGTGCAAACACCTGATGTGTGGGTTAGGCGCATGCCATGAGTTCAAACCTTGCCCTGGCAAAAGCCTAGTAGTTAAGTAGAGAAGGGTAGAGGGGCGGGCCCACTATCCAAGAGTTTCGAACCGTGCACCATTGATCCTCGTGGATTTCTATGTCATGAAATAAATAATTTCTTAGCAACTAAAGTAAATAGGATACACTCAAAATTATGTCAATGACACATAATCTCCAACTAATAGTTCATTTTCCTTGGCCCATTATTTTTCAGGGTTTCTATTGAAGACTAGCATTTAATTCAAATGGGTGATAGTCAGTACTCTTTCTCACTTACCACTTTCAGGTAGGGCTGAAAAGTTGTGTGTATATCCTCTCTATATGTATACTTTCCTTCAATCAAGTGCAATTTCTCTTATACTGATTTGTTGTGAAATAGTCCATCTGGAAAGCTGGTTCAGATTGAACATGCCTTGACGGCGGTTGGATCGGGCCAAACATCACTGGGGATTAAAGGTAACTCTAGCCGTTATAAGTGTAACTTTTTATGTCTATAGGTACTCGTTCGTATGAGTAACTCGCAATGTCCGATTATCTTGGCAGTATTGACATAAAAACAAAGACGCTTCCCGTCAGCATGTGTCATGAAATCATAGTCAAATTTTATGTAGAGAATGCCACAGAAAGAAGCTCTCTATTTTCAAATATCTGTCAGTTTTACCTGTTACAACTGATTTAGATCTCAATGGCTTTTGCAAAATAGATGATGCTATTACATTCCCCTGCTGAGGCCTTTAATTTAGTCAAGAAATGTATTTGTTATGTGATAATACATTTTAATATAGTCGTCCAATCTGTCATAAAAAAGTTTCCTTGTAACAAAATTAGATAGCTATGTTTTCCTTTTTATTGTCAATAACTATCTAATCCTTATAGTGATCTCACTTGTCTAATTGGATGACTGCAGCTGCTAATGGTGTTGTAATTGCAACTGAGAAGAAATTGCCATCCATCTTGGTTGATGAAGCATCTGTAAGTTTATCTCTTTAGAATCAGCCTTCATAGTCTGCTCATGACTGATTGTACTTGTGTTTGCATCCCTGGGTGCTTCATCTAGATTGCATGAATTGTAGTTTTTTGGATTTATTTCTAAATTTCAGTAGTCAGTCAATGAGAATTTGCTTAAATATTAAAGTTCTATGTATTTTCTTAGTAGTGTTTAATTTACTGCTCTAGAGGGTAATTTTCCAAATGTATTCAAAAGATGGTCGCCAGGCAATGTATCAACAAGTGCATTTAGTGTCATGGTCTCGGTCTTAAGTACTTCTCTTCTGTGCTGCAGAACTGTGGAATAGTGGAGTTTATTGTTCCTACTTTACTGATCCTCTATTAGCGCTAAGCTTCATGACTACTGGTGTGTTTTGGAATACATGGGAATTTCAATAGGTTTCTTGCTTTTTGCTGTGTTTTTTTAACACTTGATATATACGTATCTATGTGCTTACAGTAACCATCATCTTCCCTCCCTCTTTTATATGTGTATCACAGGTGCAAAAGATTCAAGTTTTAACACCAAATATTGGAGTAGTGTACAGGTTTGATCTGTTATGTTCATTGTCTCCAGTTATCTTTCTCATATTCTAGGATACAAGGATCCATAGTAAGCATGCCTTGAATGGTATGTAACTGTCATCAGATTATGGTTGCCGTCCTCTGTTGTAGGGGAGCTCTTTTGTTAGTTTTGTTGATTGGCCTAGTTGGTTTCCTTTCTCGCATGTTTAACGTCAACCATGAAGTGACCAGAGGTTCATTCAATAGAATGTCCTGGTTTATTTCATCTAAACCCAAATTTCCGGTCTGGCTCTTGGATATTTAGTTCATATATTATAGTTGAAAAATTTGTGTAACTCAGAAGCAGAATTTCCATGAAAAGATTGTGCAAATTCATTTAGTTATCCCCAACTTCAGTGATATTTATATGAATTGTCACAATAATAAGCAGCATCATGTTTAGTGAAAAAGTCGCATAGTCCTCGTCAGTTTCACACTGACAGTTCAGTGGAGCCTGGCTAAACATAGGGCATCCCCGTGCACAAAGCGCGGGGAAGGGTTTCCTTTCATCATTCTTATTAAGACTTAAAAAGCCATCGCTTCGTCGCTTAAAGCAATGATGCCATGCGAAGTAGGGGGTTATCACTTCATAGGTGAAGCCATGTGCTTCAGGGAAGTGTGCACTCAAACATTTGACGCGCAATGATACCAACCAGAAGTGGTCAGTTATTTGAATCTCAATTTTAAGGATGAATATGAACGTTGTTGTGTATTGGATGTAAAAATTAGTTATTTTAATTGTAATCTGATTTTTGTGGTACTAAATTCATATATGTTTCGTACTTATTAATTTCGTAAATTGTGCACTTTGTTTCAAAGAAACGTGCACTTCACTTTTCACTTTTCAATTCAAGCTCCATGGACATAGTTGCTTTTTTTGTGCTTTTTGTTTGTGAAAACACTGCCTTTAAATGTCAACATGTGAGACTATCTTAATGCTTATTTCCACAGCCTACAAGAGCTCCTCAGTTCATGGAGCTAGCTTAAAAAACACTTTAATGCTACCTCAGTTTTTCAAGGCATATTCTTGACTAACATTTAAGATTCTTGTTGCAGCGGCATGGGCCCTGATTCTCGAGTTTTGGTGCGAAAAAGTAGAAAGCAGGCTGAGCAATATTATCGACTCTATAAAGTATGAATTCGTCTTTACCATTGCTAAACCTTATTAACAAAAGTTTTTACCATTGCTAAGATTGATTGGCATGGTATTATGGAGTTGCTGCTTACATGATACCACTTTGTCTGATATGCTGACAGTTTATACAGTTGTCCTACTGGTTAATGTTTGACTTAATTAGGATATTGAAAGAGTATTTGAATACACATTTACTTGTATTATAATTCCTCCTTTCTCATTTTTCAACTACATGTGCTATTACTTGTATTGCAACTGAAGTGTTTATGTGGATGTTGTTTGAGCATAACTTATGTATACTATTTTTTCCTGATCTGTCTATTTAGGAACCAATCCCTGTCACACAACTGGTGAGGGAAACTGCTGCTGTCATGCAGGAATTCACCCAATCAGGGTAACTACTGTTTTATGTCAAATTCACTTAAGAAGGATAGCAATTTGGGTACTCACTTTATTTTTGTTAAAATCATTTAACCACTGTTGTAGTTATTTATGATGATGATCAGCCTTTGACATTTTCTGGCTTGTCAAAATTAGCTTTGATATTCTTACTAAGTAATGTGGTTGACCTCAACTTCTTGCTATATTGTGGTTGACCTCAACTTCTTGCTATATTGTGGTTGACCTCAACTTCTTGCTATATTGTGGTTGACCTCAACTTCTTGCTATATTAACTTAATAGTGGGTCAATCATCTTCGAAATGTATTTACCGGTAAAAGCTGAAGGAGTTAGTCCGTCGTTAATTGATTTGATGCTGTTGAAATTCATGAAGCGCAACATTTAGACAACTTTGCTACATGTGTAGCTTGTGACTAATATGTCCACAGTGGACTAATGTGATGATACATTCTTGCTGCAGATAATATTAGCTTATAGTAGAAAAAATATTGTGCGGTGTGCGTAATAAATGAACTCTTTGATATATACACATGTACAAAGCATCATTGCCTTCCTTATAAAAAAAAAAACAAAAACAAAGCATCATTGCCTTCACTATCCTTGTGGAATCTTGTCACAGAGTATAGTTGAACGGGAAAACCTTTTTTCCTTTTTGATAACTGAGAAATCCCTGACAGTGCCACACGGTTCGAGACTCGATAGATAGTGGGCCTCCCCCTCTACCCTTCTCCACTTCAATACCGGGAATTTGTCTGCGGTAGGGTTGAACCCGTGATGGATTTAATGGACCTTGTATGTTGGTGTTGGTATTAAAGAGGTTGGAAAAGAAGATGCAGTTTTACGGTGTTTGTGAATGTCGCGTGAGAAGGGAAAAAAATGAAATACTGTTACAAGTTTAATCTTCTTGGATTCTCAGTTTTCCAGTGTTCTTCCCCTCGTATATCTCTTGCACTTTACGTTCTGAGCTTTTGTTTCCTATCTAGGTCACCCTCGTTATTTTTTGGGTCATATTTTTTCGTAGTCTATCAAAACTTAGCGTATATGAGACTGCTTGTGTTTATCCCCATTTGTAGGGAACCAAGCTTGGCCTCCTGCAAAAAAGAAAAAAAGTAGAATTTGTCCAAAAATTCTCCACCGTCCAAAACATTCTTTCTGCCCAAGAATGATTTTCAGCTAAGTAAATTTGGCACATGCCTTTTTCATCACATGAGGGTTTTGAAGCTTTCTTTGCTCTCCATATTAATTGGAGGAAAAGCTTGTTGTTCCCCGTCGATGAGGTTCCTAACTATGCTAGTTTGGCTGAAAAACCTGGGTGTCAGACAGGGACTTTACCTATTGTGTACTTGGTCCTTCCTTAGGGTGCAAACACAAAGCTGAAGCGATATGGCAGGGAGTGAAGACACTTGAAAGCTTGAAAAGTCAATACCTTTCCTTTTTTTTCTTTTCTTATTTTTTCACATCTTCATGGCCGATTGGTTAATTAATAGTGTTTTGGACCCTCTACCAAATTATGTGATGTATTTGTTCCCTTTGCTAGCTAAAACTGAGAGGAGAATTGATAAAGTGATAAGGAATTTCTTTGTGGCAAGGGAACAACAAGAGGAAGTCCTTTAATCTGGTTAAATGGAACACACTTGTAAAAAATGTGAAAGATGGAGGACTAGGTATCAAAGATCTTAGGAAGCACAAAAGAAGCCTATTGATGAAGTGACTATGGAGATTCAGTTACGTGGAAGAGGCCTTATGGAGGAGCGTTACTAAGAACACGTAAGGGATTGAGGATCACTTGTGTACCAAGTAAGTTAGAACATCACATGGGTTGGCAATCTGGAAATAGTGTTGTCAAAGGCAAAAAGCTCTAAAAAGCGCTACAAGTCTATTGGGGCTTTAAAAGCAAAGCGCAATTTAAGTGTGGGCTTTAGTAAAAAAAGGCGCAATGAAGGAAAAAAGATAAAAATATCTATGTAATTCAAGAACAAGTAATAAGTTCATTCATAATGTTTTCCTTTAAAACAAATTCACTTATTTGCCGATTATGTGTGTTATTTAGTACTGTTCGATTCAAGATAGAAATTATAGGCAACGAGGTGCACGCCTTAGTTACTTGACTACATCAAAGCGCAACTTAAGCGAAGGGAAGCGTTCTCCCAGAGCTTTTATGAGCTTCAGGGATTAAGCACGCCTTAAATGAACCTTTGACAACACCGTCTGGAAGACTAGAGAATCCTTCCGGCCTGAACTTACAGAGAAGACTATCTTCAAAGTAAGTGATGGCAGGAAGATTTTCTTTTTGCATGACAATTGAATTGGGAATAGGCCTTTGAAGGAATAATACCAAGACCTTTTCAGGATGATGCAAGCTACTGGTACTTCTTGACGCTTGGAACAAAACATTCACAAGGCATGTGAATGACTGGGAGTTGAATAGAGCAGCAGATTTTTACAGCTTTTCTAACAGCGAAGACAAGTTACCTGCTGCGTGTGCTGGTGGGAGGTAGTGGGTACCTGGTGGAATAGTCGAGGTGTGCGCAAGCTAACCTAAACACCATTGTTATTTGAAAAAAAGAAGCTATTAATCGGAGAGTAGGCTGATCTTCTTATGTAAACTAGATTTATGTGGTCTCTTCTTTTCCTTTTTTTTGTTTGATTAGGAGGTGACTATGATCTTTATCTGTTTGTGATTTTTAATGACATTGAAGTCATCCTGTATAGCCTTCTTCTGCAATCTCTTAATTCTGTTAACTTTTTTATTCTTTCCTTTGCAGTGGTGTAAGACCATTTGGAGTTTCTCTCTATCTTATGTACCATAGATTTCTATGGTCTTTTTCTTTTCCTTTTTTTTTTTTAAAAAAATGATGTCTATAATCTTTATCTGTTTGTGATTTTTAATGACATTGGAAGTCATCCTATGTAGTCTTCTCCCACAATCTCTTAATTCTGTTAATTTTCTTATTCTTTCCCTTGCAGTGGTGTAAGGCCATTTGGTGTTTCTCTCTTGGTTGCGGGGTATGATGACAAAGGTCCTCAACTATATCAGGTAATCTATGTCATGTTCTGGCGTGATCTCGTCTCTTGATGTCCTTCACTGTTATTGAGGTGCATATGAGCTACTTGCCTAATGTTGGTTGTTCTATACATTCATTCTTGTGTGCTTCATCTGTTACTTCTCCCACTTAATTGGGGGGAATGTTTTTTTTTATGACCTGTTTAACCAATACAGGATTCTGAATTTTGATGCTAGAACTGTTCTAATATACAATTTGCTTCTGTCATGTAGGTGGATCCATCAGGCTCATACTTCTCTTGGAAGGCTTCAGCGATGGGAAAGAACGTGTCAAATGCGAAGACATTTCTCGAGAAGAGGTGAGTCATTAACACGGAATTTTGTATACTTTTATCTCAGTTTGAGCATTATCTTTTAGCTTCCTAAGTTGATCAGGCTTTTATTATACTGATACTCAAGTCGCAGTTACTTTATCTGAAAATACACTTCAAGCACAGATCAATTTATCGAAAATACAGTTAAAAGTTTTAAAGGGTTCTGCTCCTTGGCCACTACCTTATAAGCTAAACTCTGAAAACCCTTGCTATATCCATGACAGCTATATTATCTCCCAATAATGCCGGCAAACATCTAATTCTATCCCAATCCTTTTTGATAACAAACTTTCTCCATCTTAATTCTTAACTGTGCACCATATTAGTGATCCATTATCTCCCTAAGTTGCGTGGACTCTTCGATCTTGGTGCCGTCCCCGTCCCGATACGAGATGGGGTACGTCCCGGATTCGGTCAATTGACTCCGGACACTTTGACCGGAGTCCATCGACAAATTTGGGAGAAAAATTGAGATTATGATTTCTCAAAATAAAAAATAAAGCAATTTAAGTTATGGAAAATGGCATACCTTCAATATTGTAGTATTTTTGTCTCATATTTTTGGAGAATGAAAGATTGAATTCTACAATATTCATGTAAGTTTTTCATAGAATCTGTCAAAATTTACAATATTTTTATAGCTCAATATTTATTATTTTGAATTTTCTTCGCCGAATCCCCGCACCGGTATCCATATCAGGATCCGCACCCCCGAATCTTAAAATTTAGATTTTGCCGAATCCGATACTCGGATCCCTCTCCGTATCGGATATCCGCACCCGAGTCCGAGCAACTTAGTTATCTCCTTGTGCTTCTGTTTTCTACCAAAAGATGGAAATGGTTGGAACATTGATTTTGCTGGGGAAACATCCTCATAGGTAACACTTTTTGGTGTATATGCAGAGCCAACAATTGAGTATAACTTTGTATTAGTTGGATGTCAAACTGAATAGAAAGACACCCTGCAGAGTTAGTTTGTCCGGCTGTTAAGTCCTGTCTTTGAAATCTTGTAATATTTTGCGTAAAAAGTGAATAATTGTTAGTCTTACAAAGTCGTATGCGCCTCTGAAAGAGTTTGAATCATTTTAGTCTCATCAGCTATCACCTAATATGAGTAATTATTAATTTGCTGGATGTGCCAAGGCTAAGTCTCCATTCAGAAGTGCAAATATCAAGCCAACCATCAGGACAAGAGGTGGGTAGGAGGGTGGTTTAAGAGGAGAAGGAAGTGTGCTCAAGCATAGTCACTGCTGATGGATGAGTTCATGAAATCCTAACTCCTAGTTGCACTTGCGCCCCCAGGATTTTGGTCTAGTGGTAAAAGCATAGTACATGATGTGTTGATTAGGCGAACCGTGCTGTAGAAAAAAGTCTGGTACTTAATCCACTGAGTTTCTAATGTGTGCCATTCGCCCTGGAGGATTACTCGGTTATTAGAATAGAGTTGCACTTGCATGAATAAACCGGACTTCTATTGATGCAGAGGGTTCAGTGAAAGGTGGTAAATAACTGATCCTGATCAAGAATCTTTTACTCAAATTGCTGGCTTATAGTAGCAGCCACTTGCGTTTGAAACTGTTGAAATTCTTGTGTGCCGAGAAGGATGTAATCAATTTTTCCTTTTCCACCTTGATAATGTTGTCCACGTATTGGGACAATCAACTAGGGATAATTTTGTTATTTGATAACTAAGAGAAAATTTGTATAGTTTTTGCAATTTCTGGTTAGTTTTTATTTGTGTTTAAAAATGATGTTCATGCTTCTCCCAGGTACACTGAGGATATTGAACTTGATGATGCTGTACACACTGCTATATTGACCCTGAAGGAGGGGTAAGCATCTAACTTAATCATATATGCTGTATTTGTGTGCTCATATGAATTTCTCCTGTCGATAAGGTGTGTTTCTGCCATACCCTGTTTGTTGGAAGAGGAATTGATTTCAGATCCCCTCTGTTATTTTGCTTCATTTGATAACATCAGAACTAAAGGAGTATTTACCTACTATTCGTATCAAAAGGAGGATACCGGAAAATATCATGCACTTGAACTGTTTCAGTTCGTTAAAGTGTCATCTTTAGCTGCACATTCTATTGCACGGATTTTTTTTGATTTTATGTTCTTTTAATCTTTAATGAGCTTCCAAGTGGACCCTCAACTATAATCTTACTTTCTATATTTATCCAGATTTGAGGGGCAGATCTCCGGAAAAAACATTGAAATTGGCATCATTGGCAATGACAAAGTATTCAAGTAAGTGTCTGTTTGTCCTTGAACTTGAACATAATGTCTCTTTTTTAGATGGTTAAAAGCTAGTGGTTCATTTCTTTGCAGAATTCTCACACCAACTGAAATAGATGATTACCTGCAAGAAGTAGAATAGATTCCGTTTTCTTCTCTAGTGGGTTGAGGAAAATTAGTTGTCAAAAATGGAGCAGATGGAGTTTAATATCGCACAACTATTTGAGGATCGTGTTGATTTTTCGTTGTTACAGAGTTAGTTATGCACGCTACTATCTGACGAGGAATTTGTTTATTTTTCTTTATTACAGTTTGACCTTTTATCACAGCATACTTAGTTTTTGTTGACCATGAAACTGATTTCTCATGTTGCTACTTTCATGCCCGTTTGATGCGCTGGAAGTTAAATATGATTTATGTTAAGACGTGACAGACTGATTGGATATTAATTAAATCACTTGTGTCTAGAAGCTGCATTAGTTTTGAACCCCCTTAAACTAAAACAGATTCACATAGGTTCGTACCACTGTATCCTTGAGTTCTAAGGAGACAAGATACCGAGTCTGGTGGATGAATCATGGCCATTAGACCAAAGTGTGTAGGTTCGTACCACTGAATCCTTGAGTTCTAAGGAGATGGGAAACCAAGTTTGGTGGATGAGTCATGGCCATTAGACCAGAGCATGATTAACGGCCCCCATGGCCTTTGGGTCATTGAGCCATAGATGATCGTTTGCAGCCCCAACCGTGGCGCTGGGATGGTCTAATGGCTGTCTTACAGACTTGACCCTGGCACCTTACACTGGAAATAGAAGAACCCAAGAGAAGTATGCTGTATGCTGTGTAATATAGAACCATATATTGGTCAGTGTGTATTGGAGTCCGCTGGCAACTATATTAGCTATTTGGGAAGAAATATGAGTCTTGAAAGGTCGAAAAATTTGAGCACGACAAAACCTTTGTGTTTGACTATATTCAAATTGTACTCCTAATTGCTAGAGAAAATACTCATCTGCACATGGTGGTTGTTCAAGTTTGACAAGCGAAAGATTCTAAAAGCTAACAAGATGATTCTGGTTAAATCGCACATTCCTTGGAGAAATGAGCTGATCGATCTCCTATCTCCTCCTGAAGCTAGAGCAAAATCTAATTGAAAATAAATCGAATTATTGATTGTGTCGCCCCAATCGTCTCCTTGGAGGAATATGTGCTACCAAAAGATATTTCATTTGGTGTTCAATCGCCCGAATTCATGAAAATAGCGTGGACAACAGTATACAAAAAATTGAAAATCATTCTAAATTCCTGTTTTATGAATCTAAACCACCAAAAAATGAGGAACGATCATGGTGAAGCGACGACTACTGTTCATTAGGTCGTTTCTGATGGGCCCACAAAAATTTAGGCGATTCGGAGCCTATCACCCGAATTCATGAAGATGGTGTAGACATTAGCACATGAAAGATTGAAAATCGTCCTGATTATTTGTTTTATGGCCCCAAAAAATGAGGAGCCGTCATGACGAAGCAATGACTATTGTTCAGTAGGTCGTTCCTGATGAGCCAACAAAAATTTAGGCGATTCGGAGCCCATCGTCCGAATTCATGAAGATGGTGTGTACATTACCACACGAAAAATTTTAGGTCGTTTCGGATAGACCCACACAATTTTGCGCAATCCGAGGCCCGTCGCTCGAATTCATGAAGATGGTGTGAATATTAGCACCCGAAAAATTTGAAATCGTTCTCAATTCTTGTTTTATGGCCTTAAAACGCCAGAGAAATAAGTAACAATCATAGTGAAGAAATAACTATTGTTCATTAGATTGTTTCTAATGGGCTCGCATAATTTTAGGTGATTCGGAGCCCGTCACCCGAATTTATCAAGATGGTGTGCACACGACAAATATAAAATTATCTTGAATTCCTATTTTGTAACCTTAAAACGCCAAAAACGAGGAACAATCGCGTGAAGTAATGGATATTGTTCACTAGGTCGTTTCTGATGGGTCCACAAAATTTTAGGCTATTTGGAGCCCTTCGCCCGAATTCATGAAGATGGCGTCGACATTGGCACACGATAAATTGAAAATCGTTCTGAATTTATGTTTTATGGCCCTAAAATGCCAAAAAATGAGGAATAATCATGGCGAAGCAATGGATATTGTTCACTAGGTTGATTCTGATAGGCCCACAAAATTTAGGTGAATAGCAGCCCGTCGTCTGAATTCATGAAAATAACGTGGACATTAGCACACAAAAATATTAAAAATCGTCCTGAATTTTTTTTATAGTCCTATAACGTCAAAAAAAGGAGGAACCGTCATGACGAAACAATGATTATCATCCATTAGGTCGTTTATGATGAGCCCACAAAATTGTAGACGATTCGAAGCCTGTCACCCAAATTTATGAAGATGGCGTGGACATAGCACTTGAAAAATTGGAAATAGTCCTGAATAAGTGTCATGATCCAAAATCCTAACATGTCGTGATGGCGCCTATCGTGGCACTAGGCAAGCCGACATTTATGAAATAACTCCAACACTTAACAGAAAACGAATTTAAAACAGTTTAAATGATAACAACTTCTCATAAACATGATAGAAAATCCAAAATACGACGCGAAAATTCCCAACATCTGGGTGTCACTGAGTACATGAGTATCTATACATCACCAGTCTGAAAAAAACACTGTCTAATATAGTATGAAACTAAATATAATAAGCGGAAAGATAGGGAAGGAGAAACAAAGTCTGCAAAATGCCGACAGCTACCTCGAAATCTCCAGAAGATCAACCGTGCGCGGAAATTAACATCCACTGCGTCCGGAAACACCTGGATCTGCACACGAAGTGCAGGGTATAGTATGAGTACAACCCACTCAAAGTAACAATACTATATAGAGAACTGAAAGTAGTGGCGAGCTTCACAGTTATAGTTTAATTTTAGTGATTTTAAATAAGAAAGTAGGCATGCTTTCAAGTTCGACAATTAAGGCCAAAACAGTAATTTCATGTCAAGTTCAACTGAAATAGAGTGTAATATCCTCCAGAAATTTTAAAAGCAGTGATATATGGCAGCTAAGTGATACACGACAGCTACCTCGAAATCTCCAGAAGATCAACCGTGCACGGAAATCAACACCCACTGCGTTCGGGAATACCTGGATCTGCACACGAAGTGCAGGGTGTAGTATGAGTACAACTCACTCAGTAAGTAACAATACTAAATAGAGAACTGAAAGTAGTGACGAGCTTCACAGTTATAGTTTAATTTTAGTGATTTCAAATAAGAAAGTAGGCATGCTTTCAAGTTCGACAATTAAGGCCAAAACAGTAATTTCATGTCACGTTTAACTGAAATAGAGTGTAATATCCTCCAGAAAATTTAAAGGCAGTGATACATGGCAGCTAAGTGCAACAATAATGAGATCAAATGCATCCTCTTAGGGCCACAGTCACTCAGCCTTCTCATTCACTCAGCACTCGGCACTCAGTGGGTATGCATATTTTTTAGTATGTTTGCATATTATTTCTTATGTGAGTTGTGGTAGATTACATATTTATAAACATAGAATATGCTCATTAAATGTTTATTGTGTGTAAGAATGAATTTGGATGGAAGTTGCCAAGAATTGGATGATTTGATGTAAAAAGAGTAGAGATGCAAGACCTGGGAGCGTGCCACAATTGGTGCATTGCATGAAAGTAGGCACGAAATGGCCTAGCGAATAGACAAAAAACAGTGCAATATGGAGGTTGGCACTGGACCTGGCACGCGAAAGAACAAAGAAGAAAAAAAGAAATAACTGGGAGCGTGCTAGAAGTCGCGCATTGCACCAACTCTAGCACGCGACTCAGCTTGTCCTTTTCGAATTAGGAGAGATCAAGAACACCCCACATCAACCCTAATTGATATAAATACATCACAAAACGTCCTTTTGAAGGAGGAGACACTACTTTAGGGTAAGACAACACCCAAGGAGGCAAGAATACGCTAGGAGCAAGGAGGAAGATTTAACCACGAGTTTTTCCCCTTCTTCTTCCTACTTTTCATTGTTGATTATGACTTTTAGTATTGTAGTTTTACGTACTATTATGAGTAACTAATTTATTATCTAGAGTTTTGATGGAACCTCTTGGAGGATGAATTCTTGTTATGTTTTAATATAATTTAACCTTTGGATTTATCTACTTGTTCAACTACGTACTTATTTCAGTTGATTGAATGACCATCGATTGATTGTGCCTATTTATTATGTGTATACATATTTAGGTGGTTGTTGAACAACATCACTCCTAAGGTATATGAGAGATCAATACTACGGGTTTAAAAGCGGGATTAGAGATAACGAAGCTTTGACGTGATCCTAGTGAGCGGTAAAACAAGTGCGAGCTAGCGTAATTCGAGAGAATATGACTAGTACATTATTGTAGTTGCTAGAGAGAGAATTACGATAAGCTGAGTGCTCATGATCAGTAGAGAATACTTAGGCGATATTATAGGAGACGCAGTGGGAAGGATTCCGACAATTGGGAAAATCATAACTCTAGACCTCCTTAATTTTGTCTCCAACCCTTAGTTTCTTTAGTCGATAAATTTCTATTGCTTTTTGATAATCACTAGTTAAGTAGTTTAAGTAACTTAAAAGTTATTCGAGCTTGTCCTCTTGGTGATATTGAACAGTTATAGCGAAACCTTAGTTCTCTATAGGATTCGATTCCGGACTTTTAGACCGGATTACATTTGCAGCGACCGCTTATTCTTTTTAGGACTACAGTTGGGCGTGATCAAAATTTGACGCCGTTGCCGGGGAACTAACGGTGTAGCTGTATGTGTACGCATTGCCAGTTTTTAAGTTTGAACTTTTATTTTTGTTTTCTTGTACTTGATTCTTTTAATTTTTGTTTTACTTGTTAATTTGAGAAATATGGCATCGTGGAATTATGGGAATTTTGATGTTGGTAATTCTACTGTTAATCTTCCTTGTGTGTATTGTGGAGGAAATCACCTGCGGCAAAATTATCAAAATATTCCCTAGAACGGGTTATGTGTACCAACTCAATCTTATGTGTGGAATGTATGTGATATGTGTGGTGGTCAAGATGGTCACTTTCATGGTTGTGCTTATATTTTTTATCTTCCCCAACCCTTTACTTTGATGGTTCTTCTTTTTCTTGTGAAGTTAATAGGAACAAAGAACCCATGGGTGATGACCTAAAAGAGATCAAGGATATTCTAAGGTGCCTTGTGGAACAAAATAATAAGAAATAACTGCACATACAAAGGCAAGATGCTACTATTCGCAATCTGGAGGCACACGTGAGTCAATTAGTTGAAGCATTTAATGCTCAACAAGCCAATATTGTGGATAGTAGCCAAGAAGAGCATGAATTAGATACCAAAATTGAGGTTCTAATGGAA